CCCCGGGCAGGCAAGTGTCCCCGCCCCCTGGCGGGCGAACGGCCACACCCCCGGCGCCCGACATCCTGAAAAGGTTGGGGACCACTGCTGTAGGTTGTCAAACCCAGACTCAGAGGCTTGTGTGCTGCTTGAAGTATCCAACTAAGATACCAAGACCAGAGGACTCAGCAAGGCAAAGCAAAGCCAAGGATCACACTAAATGGTAAGATCTGCATCTTAAATTATTTATTAATGAAGCTGCTGTAAGTAGGACTATTATTGACTTTAAAAAATAGAAGTAAGTAAGTTAAATCTTGGCACACCACTTCAGAAGGTTGCTGACCCCTGCTATAAGGAAAAGGTTGCTATTAGACTTGCCTCTTGTTAGGGTAAGTCTATACACTACCATACTGCATTGGTGTATATACCCCACGGTTGTGTCTAGACTGGCCAGTTTTTCCGGAAAATCAGCCGCTTTTCCGGAAAAACTTGCCAGCTGTCTACACTGGCCGCTTGAATTTCCGCAAAAGCACTGACTTCCTACTGTAAGAAATCAGTGCTTTTTGCGGAAATACTATGCTGCTCCCATTCGGGCAAAAGTCCCCGTTGTGGGTTTTTTTTGCGCAAAAGCGCATCTAGATTGACCACGGACACTTTTCTGCAAAAAATGCTTTTGCAGAAAAGCGTCCATGCCAATCTAGACGCTCTGTTCCGGAAAAGCATTTCTGGAAAATCATGCCAGTCTAGATATAGCCCACTAGAATACATCTTCTGAAGACATGCAATGCTGATGGCAGTGTGCTTGTATATGTACTATAGAGTTGCTTACATCAGTATCTCTTGTCTGACAATCCTGTCATTCTACACACACACACTGCAAGGATCATGTAGGTAGACAACCAGATATGGAACCTGTTGGAGCAGTTGCTAAAAGATAAGATTGTGCTAAGTTCCTTCACACTCTATATTATGCAGGGAAAGGACAGAAATATCTCATTCTCATCTAACAATCCCTCAGTTTTTCTCTATCTCAACAGCCCCAGATAGATCTGGGATCCAAAGACGATATGTTCAAAGAACAAGAGTTTCTGTTTGGTAAGCCCTTTTTTCTTCCCTTCATGGTATTGCCCCCACAGAGCTCCACTATATTGGATTAATGAGCGCTGATCTCTCTGAGGGGTACTGCTAGTTGAAGCACTGTACTGTCCACACCAACAACTGTTCCAGGGCAAGCTAAAAATATCAAAACTTCAACAAAACCAAATGAAATAAGCTTTTTAGACTAAACTTAACTCACCAACTCACCAGTATTTTAAAGCATATAGGGTACGTCTACACTACAGCGCTAGTTCGAACTAACTTAGTTCGAATTAGTTAATTCGAACTAAGCTAGTTCGAACTAACGCATCTAGAACTAAAAACTAGTTCGAACTAGCGTTTTGCTAGTTCGAACTAGTAAGTCCACATTGAGTGGACTCTGAACAGGGCTTAATGATGGCCGGAAGCAGTGCCGGCAGGGCATAAAAGGAGGACTTAGAGCATGGAGATACTGTCTCAGGCTAGCCGAGGGCTGCGCTTAAAGGGTCCCGACCCCCACCCCGGACACACAGTTCTAAGGGGTGCCCCGCTTGCAAAGAAGTTCTGGCTTGGAGTGCCCTGAGTGCCCACACTGGGCACATCACACCACTCGGCCATCAGCCCGGCTGCACTTGCCGCAGGCTGCCATCTGGGGAGAGGGAGTAATTGGGGGGCTGCAGGAGAGCTTCCACCCCCAGAAGCCCGCAGAGCCAGCCCAGTCCTCCCCATCGGGGGCTCGTACCCCATTCCTCCCTCACCTCCTTCCACTTACCCTTCCCTAGCCCCCCTTCTTATTGATGTACAAAATAAAGATAACGTTTCTTCCAACATTGACTCTGTCTTTATTGAAAAAAAAGGGAAAGTCTAGCTCCATGGAGGCAGGCAGAGAGATAATCAGAGACCCATAAAGAAGTATTTTTATTGTCAATCTAAGGACTGTGGGACTTGAGAGGACTAAGCACACCAATTGCTCAAAAAGGCCACATGACCATACATACAACTCCTGCACTGGAGCTCTGCAGAGGCATGCCATAAAGGAGTCTCTCTGTTTTTCCCAAACTGAGAATGAGCTTTATCATGAATCAATGAAAGAAAGTGTACATATGCAGCAAACCCTCATGGGAGCACTTCCAGGAGACAAACAGAGTGTGCCAGAACAAAGGGTAGGGAAGATGATTTCTTTGAAACAGCTCTCAATGTTTAATATTTCATCTTACAACTAGAACAATATAATACATAGTGGCACATGGAAAAACAAATTAAAACTGAACTAAAAAGTCAATATTTTAATAGAATACTAAAAATTCTAAAGAGAAAAAACACCTACTTTTTAAATGGTTAAAGCACCTTAAAGGCCAGATACAAAATACAGTCAGACACTACAAAACACTTTCTCTTTATTTCTACTACAGAAAACATAAAAGGCTCCCAGAAAACATGACTGGAATGGAGCCTGACAGAAGAGGAAGGGAAGAATCACAGAAACAGATCTTTGAATAAAAATAATTCCTGAATCAATTCAGAAAAAACCTGTAGTACAGGCAGTCCCCGGGTTACGTACAAGATAGGGACTGTAGGTTTGTTCTTAAGTTGAATCTGTATGTAAGTCGGAACTGGCGTCCAGATTCAGCCGC